TCAAAGGCTATTTTTTTTTATGCAAAAGAGTTCCGTTGTCACTGAGAATAGTTTCTGTACCTATCCCCAGTGTCACTGGGAATAGTCACTTCGATGGCCAAAATTTGACAATGCCTTGCTCCACCGTGACGTGATACATTTATTTGTCTAGTTGCTACCCTTGAAAAATACCATTCTATCTGCTCAGTACCTAGTTCTGAGAAATTTTACATCAAAGATTTTGAGCTTTACGTTACGTCAATTTTTAAAAAAATTAAATTCTTTGAAAATCTTGATACTAAAATTACCATTTTGGTAGAGCAGATAGCGCATGTGGTTTCTGATCTCAACGTCTTCGTTACTAAAAACGATTTAAAAAATCTGAGATAGAACTTTGTAATCCTCTGGTAGCGTAGTGGAATGCTCTCCCTTAAACACACACGAATCAACAAACAATGAACAAACAAGCCACTTCCCCAGCCCTAGAGATGGCCAACCTGACGTCACAATTGTCCCCCGGTCCCATGGAGTGCCGAGATGACCACAGGGGAGGCTCAATCTTCACCACTCTGGCCGCGTGAGTTCATACAGTTTGTTTTTCCACTTTATTTCTTTAATTTTTTCAGTTTTGTTGACTTGTGTTGAAAGAGACATAAAAAGAAGGGGGAAAAAACCCTTTATGACAGTAATAACAATAGGTTGCATTTGTATAGCGCTCTAGCCCATACGAGTATAAGCTCAGAGCGCTTTACATCAATCACACTGAGCGACTGACATAAGATAAAATATTTCACAGTAACAAGAAAAACCCAGTGCAACCACATAAAGAAGAACTTTTAAAACCATACATTACTTACATACATTTACTTCCAGCAGCAACAACAAAACATATTAACACTTACTAACACACAATGACTAAGAATTAAACAAATGAGTCTTGAGCAATTGCTTAATTTATTCAGATCTGCTATTTCTCGGAGATCCTGGGACAAGGAGTTCCAGATTTTAGGGCCAAAAAATGAAACATCTGTCAACAGTGATGAGGTCATTCAAGGTCAGAAACTAAACATTCTTTATTGTGAACATACATATTGCAAAAATCCCCAGGATATTCTTCTCAATTATTGGCGCACTGATGATCGCGGGCACAGTAGTTGACGTCGTTTTCGTCCAGTGGCCGGCCTGGGAGGCTGAGAAAGTCAAGTCACGTGGTCTCCCCCACGAGGAAAGCACGCCGTTTGAAGGACACGAACCCATATTATTGGGGCAGGACAAGCCAGGACAACAGGGCCGGGCAGGGGAGACATCTGCTCTCTTGGGGCGAACCTTGAACTATGCACCACCGAATCCATTCTGGGGTGAGTAAGGAAATAATGAGGACTTATTTTTATTTATTTTTTCCTTCCTCTGGTATCCTTTGGATGACAAGGGGAGGTGCGGGTTTTGGTCCTGTGCTAAGTGTGTGGCGCCTGTGATAGACATGTTATGTTGTTCCAGGACCTTTTCAACCCCATCTAGCAAGGTCTCTCTTGGTCTTCCTCTTGATTTAAAGCCGGATTCACAGGTGTGGTAAGCTCTAGCAGCTAGTTGTTTCTGGGGCATTTTGGTTAGATGTCCGAACCATTCGACGCTCTGACGCTCAAGGAAATTTATTACTGGAGGTATTCCACTTTTTAGGCATATTGTCTCGTTCCTTATGCAGTCTCTTCTAGTGACATTGGCGGCTTTGCGGAGACGCCTCATTTCGCATGCATTGATTTTTCTTTCTTGTGCTTGGTTTAGGGAACATGTTTGGCACTGGTATGTTACAGGTGGTAAGAAGATGCTATTGATAATCTGAGACTTCACTTTGGTTGGGATGTTCTTATAACTGAGCAAGGGTGCTAGCTGGTAGGTCACTGCATTTGCCTTCTTAGCTTTTGCTGCTATCTCTTTGCCCATATGCCCATCTCACTATGATGATGATGATGATGATGATGATGATGATGATGATGATGATGATGATGATGATGATGATGATGATGATGATGATGATGATGATGGTGATAAAACAGATGAAAAATAAATGGTGAAATGGTATAGGTTTAACACCCCTATCAATACTGTTAGGTAATTTAAGAGGCGGGACCTCCGAGTTAACGACCATCACCAAAAGGACTGAGCCAAATGGGAAATTCGTGTAAAGTGCCTTTCCCAGGGACACAAAGTCGGACTGAGCAGAAAACAGATGACGTAATGTCTAATTTGCCAGCTCCCTGCTGAGTCAGCCATCCCTCTAACTGTGCAGGGATGAATCTTTAAGGTATAGATAGATAGATAGATAGATAGATAGATAGATAGATAGATAGATAGATAGATAACCTCTCATCCTATGTGTCCATGAAATACGCTTGGTTGGACTGACAAAGGCGACAAGATGACGTTTCACCTTTGTATCCTAGAAATACGATTGGGAAAATTTCTAAGATGACCTTTCATCCTTTGTGTCCCATGGCAAAGTCTCCAAGATGACCTTTCAACCTTTGTGTCCCAGAAATCATCCTGCAGGTCCTGCGCTCCTTCTCCGTCTACTCCAACACCCAGAAAATCCTGTCTACCAAAGAGGCCCCTGGCGCCATCGGCTGTATTCATGGACTCCGCTTCTTCAGCATGACATGGGTCATCATGTATCATCTTTACCTGCTTATGGGGAGTTATCTAGGTGAAGCGTATTATAATCTGGAGTGGAACAAATATGTTTTACGAAACCGTGGAATCAGGCGATCGTCAATTTATAGGCAGGGGGAGTTATTGGCATCTTCTTAAAGCGTGTTTATTTGTCTATCTTTCGATGAAAAAATATATGTTGGTCTTGAATAGGAGTCGCTTGAAAAAGGTGGAGGCGTTTGGTTTCAAAGATAAAGTTAGCGAGGAAATGCCCTTCAAAGTTTGGTGAGCCCTTGGAAACTGAAAATTTACATTTTTGTGCCTTAAATCAACAGTTGTCTTAAAGTGAAATTCGTACAAAAATTTACCAGTGAATGGACATAAAGGTGTTGAGCCAAAAAAGAAAATTTGATCAGAATTGCCAAAACTGCGGGAGAATGCCGATATCAACGACTTCATTATTTTGGCGAGAGCCTGATTTCACCACGATGCCTCACATATTATGTCTGTATATTTTTCTTAAATTCTCCCTCTCTTTCTGATGTTTTGATATACATTTAATTTTCTTTCAGGTGAAGTTTATTTGTCTAGGGTTGACCAAATTTCTTTTTCGAGAGGTATATAAAGAGTTGAATAAATATTATGTTCGTACACTTTTTCAAATTCTCCTCTCTTTCTGATGTTGAGATACATATTTAATTTTCTTTTAGGTGAAGTTTATTTGTCAAGAGTTGAACAAATATTATGTGTGTATGCTTTTCTTAAACTCTCCTCTCTTTCTACAGTTTTGATACACATCTAATTTTCTTTTAGGATTTCCCACCCAGCTGGTTAAACTTTACTGTGAGCGATCTCGTGAAATATACGTTGGTTTTTAAGAGTATCATATCGGAGCAGACACGAGTAATGAGGGCCACACCCGAAGGCGATCCCTGAGGCCACCTTGGGGCCGCCCTGGGGCGGCCTTGGGACATCCTTGGAGGGGGGCACCTTGGGGCCACCTTGGGGCCACCTTGGGGCCACCTTGGGGCCACCTTGGGGCCACCTTGGGGCCACCTTGGGGCCGCCTCGGAGCCGCCTTGAGGTTTGCCCTGAGGCAGGCTAAGACGACATGGGCCAAGTGCCCACACACCACACAGGTCAGGACTGTGCAAACCTGGTGCCTTCCATCATGGCGACCTACTAGGTTAAAATTTCGCTGGCAAGTCTAGCAATATGTCTATAACCGAAAATGAAGCAAAAGAGGTTCTGGTCCTATTTGTGGCTTCTCCATAGGTCTTAACATACCGTCATTAACACCCGGCACTGGAGTTCTTTGGCCTCTCCATCGTTTTATACTGCTTCCGGAATGAACTCCGTAAATTGCTTATTTTTGTAATGACCCTCTTCCTATCGGCACTTGTGTCAACGTTTTTCGCGAAACTAACGAGCTCCTCGTAGATCTACGCTTTGTCCTTGAATTGTCGGTTATTGTACACTGCACTGTTCAATTTAGGCCGGGCCTCAAAGACGGCACGTGTCGTGTGTGGCCCGCATAATGGACGATGATCGATTTTCTTTTTTTTTTCGTAAGTGTTTTACGTCGCTCGCAACTGCATAGGGTCATATTAGTGCGCGAGACACATTAAACTTTTTCAGTTGGTAGGAAATTTTGAATTTTACCCAGGGGGTGGCCGAAGCCTACTATTATGGATTTTAGACCACCAATGGATCATTAACGTGCGCAAACTTGCACACGGGACCTCCGAGATTATTTGCCTTTGTCCGAGAAGGCTAGGTGTAGATCTTTCCTACCAGAAGATCAGGGGTGCGGCTGAAAGACAGCAGTAAAAAGGAGCCATAGAGTAGCAGTAGAAAGGCTGCTGAAAGAGTCAGGAGCCCAGAGGAGGGGCAAAGTAGGTGAGGGGTGGGGGCAGAAAGAGGAGACAAAAGCAGACGACAGAACGTTGCTAGAGGAGGTGAAAGGAGACAATTATAGAGAAGAAAATATTTCGGTCGCTACCAGGATTCGAACAAGGGACCTTTGAATGAGAGGCAAACACCTTAAACTCTAGGCCACGAGAGCCCCCATATTCATATCTGGCTTTTGGAGAAGAAGAAGAAGAAGAAGAAGAAGAAGAAGAAGAAGAAGAAGAAGAAGAAGAAGAAGAAGAAGAAGAAGAAGAAGAAGAAGAAGAAGAAGAAGAAGAAGAAGAAGAATTCATATTATCTATCTATTTATCTATCTATCAATCTATATATCTATCTATCTATCTATCTATCTATCTCTCTATCTATCTATCTATCTATCTATCTATCTATCTATCTATCTATCTATCTATCTATCTATCTATCTATCTATCTATCTATCTATCTATCTATGTCCATAGCCAATCCTCAAAGACTGTTGGCAGTAGTAGACCGCTGGACTTTCGACACTGTCTCCAGTATCGCTGTTTCCGTGGACACTTTTTTCACAATAGGGTGAGTGTGGCTGGTTTGTTGTGCTTTGCTTTTGTTTTCTTTTGTAAGTGTTTTACACCGCTCGCGACGGCATAAGGTCATATGGGCGCGATGGACATATCAAACATTTTCAGATTGGTAGGAATTTTTAATTTTTGTCCAAGTGACGGCCAAAGCCTACTCTTATCGATTCAAGGACCACCCACGGATTTTTAACGAGGGCAACTTGCATACAGGACCTCCTAGATCTTACCTACCATACTACCTACCTACCTACCTACCTACCTACCTACCTACCTACCTACCTAACTACCTACCTACGTACCACGTGCATACGTACATACGTACGTACATACGTACCCATATATACGTACATACGTACATACATACATACGTACATACGTACGTACATACGTACGTACATACGAACGTACATACATACGTACATACGAACGTACATACATACGTACATACGTACGTACGTACGTACGTACATACGTACATACGTACATACATACATACATACATACATACATACATACATACATACATACATACATACATTACATTGCATTCCATTCCATTCCATTCCATTCCATTCCATTCCATTCCATTCCATTCCATTACATTACATTACATTACAGAACAATTTCAAAACCATGCCATTGCTGGTCACCACTCACTGTGCAGCGTCCTGTTTGTTGAGCTAGGATTGTCATGTCTTGCTCAAGAACACACCCCAGTGACCACCCATCTGATCCCCGTGTCACCGACACTTGCCTGACTTTACTCTTGTAAACTCATCACTCAGCCACTGGAGCCCCCAAACTTGGTAGTGTCCATCGGAGCTCAAAACAGCTACAGACTTCAACAAAAGTTAAGGACCACTTTGACAGGCAGTCCTTTTTTTTTTTTTTTATATCCGAAAAAAAGACACCAAGGAATGTTTCAAAATCTTTGCTCTGAAAGTGTTAATGGGTTACCAACGTGTACTGCAAAGCCTTCTAACGGACCAAAACCACCACGTGCAGCACGGAAATCCTCGGGGAATTTTAGCCAAATTTGCTGTTTTGTATCGACTTGTGTGCGACACCAAGGACTTTCCCTAGTTAAAATTTCTGGTGCACGTCATAAACGGACGTACGGTCTCGAACTGTGCTCACTTTGGTGGCAATATAAGCCACCGTTTGCGCAAAATCCGGTATCGCATCAACATACCACCAAGACGAAAGCTGAGAGACTTTGATCGTGCCAGAGCTAAGGCATGGCTGGAGGATGGAGTTGGAGCCTGAGAAGTTGCCAGAAGGTTTGCAGTGTCACAATCTGTCATTGTCCGCCTGAGGCAGCACCATCACACCACTAAATCTGTCCAAAAACGCCCATGTGCAGGTCAACCCAAGAAGACCCCTCAGAGTGTTTGCAAGTGGTCCATAACTTTTGTTGAAGATCTACAGTTACTTGCTTTTTTTCTTCTTTTTTTTCAAGTTTAGAGATAGACGGTAAGAGAATTCACCGACGTTACGTGTTGTTTCTAGGGGTTTCCTCGTGTCGTACCTCAAGCTGAAACCGTGGATGGAGAAAGGAAGGAGAGTCAACTGGCGTCTGTTCTACTTTCATCGTATCTGGAGGTGAGTCTATAGTGTGTGTTTGTGTGTTTGTGTGTGAGTGAGTGTGTGTGTGTTTGTGTTTGTTTGTGTAGATAGTGCGTGAGTGTGTGTGTGGGGGGGGGGGGGGTATGTTTGTGAGTGTGTGTGTGTAAGTGAATGTTTGTGTATGAGTGAGTGTACGGGTGTGTGTGTGTGTGTGTGTGTGTCTGTGTGTGTGTGTGTGTGTGTGTGTGTTTGCATGTAAGTGCATGTGTGTGTACTTGTGTGTGTGTGTGTGTGTGTGTGTGTGTGTGTGTGTGTGTGTGTATTTGAAAGAGAGAGAAAGATAGAGCGAGAGAGACAGACAGACAGACAGACAGACAGACAGACAGATAGACAGACAGATAGACAGATAGACAGACAGACAGACAGACAGACAGATAGACAGACTGACAGAGACAGAGAGAGTAGGACGTAGGAGAAGGCTTGGAGAAGGGAACTGAAGGATAGAGAGGGAGGGAAAACAGACAGAAAAATATGAAGACACACGTACAGAGAGAGAGAGAGAGAGAGAGAGAGAGAGAGAGAGAGAAAGAGAGAGAATTAGAGAGAGAGAGAGATAGAGAGAGAGAGAGAGAGAGAGAGAGAGAGAGAGAGAGAGAAAGAGAAGGGGTGGGGGTGGGGTGGGGGTGGGGATAGGTTGAAGCAGTTATTTGTGATAGTTGTTCTATTTTTTGTACAGAGCGTGTGTACCTGTTTGTGCCAGTTATATTTCTCTCCATTCTAGCTTGTTTCTTGTTTTCTTAATTTGTTTTCTTTGTTTTTCTATCGTTTCCTTGTTTTTACTTTGTTTTCACATATTTTTGTTTTGTTCTGTTTTTTAGGGTTTTAATTTTATCTTTGTATTTCCTTATTTTTGTGGAGGTCCTTTTCTATTTGTCATTGTTTTTGTATATGTAGTTTACATATCTACATATTTAATTTGATTCAAGTGTTCTCGTTTATTTTTTCAGGTGAGGGGTTGCTGTTATTGTTTTTTGCTTTGTTTCATAAAATATGTTTTGTTTTTTATTCTTCCTTCATCATTTGTTTCTCTGTTGTTTGTTTTTGGAGTGTGTGTGTGTGTGTGTGTGTGTGTGTGTGTGTGTGTGTGTGTGTGTGTGTGTGTGTGTGTGTGTGTGTGTGTGTGTGTGTGTGTGTGTGTGTGTGTGTGTGTAAAGGGCAGGCTACAGTGAAAGTTATCTCCGTTAAGACAAAATCATTTCAATATACCAACCTTCACCCTCGCCCTTGACCTTAAGACCTCTGACATTTAACCTCTAACCTCTCCCAAACAAACGTGTTCTCTATGTGTTTCTCCTGTCAGGCTGACACCCCCCTACATGCTAAGCCTAGTCTTCTTCATGGGATTTCTCAAGTTCTTCGGCTCCGGCGCGACTTGGCCCAATACAATGCCTGCAGATAAAGTAAGAAAAGCGATGAGAAGAAGGAAACATAATTAGAAGAAGCATTACAAAAAGAAGCATTACAAGAAGAAACATAACAAAAAGAAAAATGAGAAGAAGCATAACATTAGGAAACATTACAAGAAGAAACATTACAAGAAAAATGATAAGAAGAAACATTACTAGAAGAAACATAACAAAAGGAAACACAAGAAGAAACATTACAGGAAGAGGTATAACATTAAGAAACATTACAAGAAGAAACATTACAGGAAGAAGTATAACATTAAGAAACATTACAAGGAGAAACATTACAGGAAGAAGTATAACATTAAGAAACATTACAAGAAGAAACATTACAGGAAGAAGTATAACATTAAGAAACATTACAAGAAGAAACATTACAGGAAGAAGTATAACATTAAGAAACATTACAAGAAGAAACATTACAGGAAGAAGTATAACATTAAGAAACATAACAAGAAGAAACATTACAAGAAACATACAGAAAGAAACATAAAAAGAAGCATAACATGAAGAAACATTGCAAGAAGAAACATTACAAGAACAGTACAAGAATTAACACTTGCGGCACTTGCAGACTGTCCAAAATAAGAACATGTGTTAAATTAAAAAACCCAAAAATCTAACACCCAACTACTGTTCTTGTTCTAGTTAAAGAACCCCTCCGAGACGGTTATCGAATACTAATTAAGATACTAAGATGTATCTTTTTATTTTCAACTTTTAAAAAAATACATTTTAAAATCATTTTTTACTTCATATATATATATATCCTCTCATACCGCAAGAAGTGGCGGATTGCTGTGGTTTTCTGCATGCGCCCCTAAATTCCAAACGACCTAAAATGATCTCGATTTTCGTCCAGCCATATGCGACAAATAGTGTAGTGGCTAACGTGTTGTTGTTGGGTTTAGTTTTATTTTGTTGTTTTTTGTTTTTGTTTTTGTTTTTGTTTCTGTTTTTTTTGCGTCTGTTATTACTGTTTCTATAAAAAGTGCCTTTCGGTTCTTTACTTTTGACCTTTGTTTGTTCTGTTTTGTTTCTTTCGCAGGAAAATTGTGAGAATCACGCATGGACAAACCTTCTCTATGTCAACAATCTTGTGCACAATGAGGAAATGGTGAGTTGACAACTTACACTCGTTTTTTCTTCTCTCTTTCTCCTCTTTCTCCTCCTCCTCCTCCTCTTCCTCCTTCTTCTTCTCCTTCTCCTCCTCCTCCTCCTCATTTTCCTCCTCCTCTTCCTCATCCTCCTCCTCATCCTCCTTCCCGTCCTCCTCCTCATCCGCTTTCTCCGCTTTTAAATGATGTGATGTGCGCCAATGGCCTTAAACATTGAATGCTGCGCACTAGGTCAACCAGTTCAAAAAGAGACGATTGCACTTTACTCAACTTTCGTTTTAGTAAGAGTTCCACGGTTCTTTTAACACAATAAGGTCACGTAAGTCCGAAGATTAGATATAGATGTTGCAAGAAAGTAACAAGCACAAAAAAAGAGGAGACTGTAGACGTTCGATAGGAAAGAAAGAGCAACATACAGCAGAGCACCTGCCAACCGCTCAGACACTAACTCAAACCTCAAAAAACAAGTAACAGACATTAATAAAGCAACCAGTAACAAAATAACATGACAGAAAAAAGGACTTTGATAGAGTAAAAAGAAAAACATGAACACATTTTTTTAAAGTGAAAAGGGTGAAACGTCCTTATCAAACATTGTTAGGTTATTTAAGAGGCGGTAACTCCGAGTATAATGTCCATCTCCGAAAGGACCGAGCCAAATAGGAAATTCGTGTAAAGTGTCTTTATCAAGGACACAAGGTCGGGCCGAGCTGAGGCTCGAACCCCGAACCCGCAATCACAATAATAAGTAAGACAGAAATATCAGAGGGAAAACAAAGAAGCAGGACCTAACAGTGGCACCCTCCAACCTCCCGCAGAAAATGACCTAGACAATTCGCTACATCAGAACTGCACAAAGTTCTATCGGACTTTTTTGGCCGTTTTAGTTGCTGAGACCATGACGTGAGAATCAAATGCTCCATCCGCTCTATCAAAATCGTAAAATTATTAGGAGTCATTACATCAAGATGTTCAAAGAATTGCTTTCAAAAAAGATGGACCATGCTGTAAAACTCTAAATTTTTTACTACAAATTTCTCAAAACTGGGCACTGAGCAGATAGAATTTTTTAATTCTAGGGTAGCTTTGTGCTGGTAAAAAGTAAGACAAAAACATCAGAGGGAAAATATAAGGTGTAGGACCTACAAGTGACGCCCTCCAACCACCCGCAGCAAAAGGCTTAGACAATTATAATAAGGCCGGCTCTATTTCTCCGAACGTTCGGGAAAAATACACTTGAACTTTACTTCTCCGAACGGTTTCCGTTCTCGAGATTTGTTGATAATAAGCGAATGGAGTGGCCCTTTTTTTACAAGAAGGATTTTAGTTTTTGCTGGCTGACTTAATGCAAAATAGGTTACTGCCAAGGTCGAGCAGTCTTATTTTCTTGCAGTAACTTTTGAAGGTATTTTTTAATGAAGTATAATCCGGGAACGTTGCCCCAACCACAATTGAAGTATCTGAATATTCAGACATTTAAAAATCTCTAGCTCTAGAAATTGAATTCGATGCAAAAAAATGCTTCCTCCCAGTCCTCGCAAAATGGCAGAATGGAAGGATGACGCTTAAATCTCGTAAATAACCAAAAAATCTCGAGATCAGAAACCGTTCGGAGAAATAAAGTTCAACTTTATTTTCCCGAGCTTTCGGAGAAATAGTCACTTCGTTACAATCATTTGCTACCAGTGGCGCTCTCCAGCTACCCGCAAAAATGATTTTTGACAATTACAATTTGCCATGGCCGAAACGAATTGTTCTTTTTTCTGTTACAGTGTATGGGGCATACCTGGTACATGGCAACTGACATGCAGTTCTACTTGGTCAGCCCTCTCCTGTTTGTTCCATTCTACTAGTGAGTCTGTTCGCTACATACGTTATACAGACTTCAACATAAGTTTAAGTCCTCCTTGACAAACAGCCCTGATTTTTTTTACTCCAAAAAATGAAAGACAGCACGGAAGGTTTCAAAACATTTTGCTCTGAAAGTGTTAGTGGGTTACCAGTAGGTACTGCAAAGCTTCCTAAAGGGGCAAAAACCAACACGTGCAGCACGGAAATCCTCGGGGAATTATTCCTAAATCTTGTGTTTTTTATCGACTTGTGTGCGTCACCATGGACATTCCTTAGTTAAATTGTTTAGTGCACGTCATAAACAGACGTACGGTCTCGAACTGTGCTCACTTTGGTGGCAATATAAGCCGCCGTTTGCGCAAAATCCAGTATCGCAACAACATGCCTCCAAGACGAAAGCTGAGAGACTTTAATCGTGCCAGAGCTATGGCATGGCTGCAGGATGGAGTTGGAGCCCGAGAAGTTGCCAGAAGGCTTGCTGTGTCACACTCTGTCATTGTCCGCTTGAGGCAACACCATCACACCACTGGATCAGTCCAAGAACGCCCACGTGCAGGTCAACCCAAGAAGACCACTCAGAGTGTTTGCAAGTGGTACTTAACTTACTTTGAAGTCTGTACTAGTGAGTCTGTTCGTTTCATTCTACTAGTGAGTACCTCGGAATAATGTTTCAAACCTTCACATCTCCCCCGCCTACCCGCACCTCTGTGGCCTTAGCGTGTTCTTTTTTCTTTCATTTGTTCGGGGTTGGGGGTTTTTTCGTCCCCCCCTCCCAAACCCAACAGTTAAAATAATAGAGTAATCAGTGAATATATTAGGTTTAAAATGTACAATGGTCTTTTATAACTGTTTATATTTTAGGGTGAGAACTTTTCAACTCTCCCCCCCTCCCCCTCTCTCTCTCTCTCTCTCTCTCTCTCTCTCTCTCTCTCTCTCTCTCTCTCTCTCTCTCTCTCTCTCTCTCTCTCTCTCTCTCTCTCTCTCTCTCTCTCTCTCTCCCCCTCTCTCTTCCCCATTTTTATCAATCCCCCCCCCAACCCCACCCCACTTTTACTAAACCAAAACTAACTCACCAATTCATCTCTCCTCCACCCCCCCCCCCACCCACCCACCTGTAGCAATATGTACGCAGGCCTAACAGTGTGTGGGACGGTTCTGTTGTCCAGCTGGATAGTGACTGGTATCCTCAGCTCAGACAAAGATTGGATAGCCTCGGACTTTGCTCCGTTGTGAGTATTTTTGTTGTTTAACGAGTTAGGATTTTTATTTTTATGTAGTTTTCTTTTTTTTCATTTTTCTTTCTTTTTTTTGGGGGGGGTGGGGTCTTTGATTTTTGTTTTTTGTTGATTTGTTGGTGTTTTTTTGTGCGTTTCTTTCTCCCTGTTATTTTGTTTTTTTAGTTATTTAATAAACGTTTCAGGCCTCAATTACAACAATTGCGTCACAGTTGTTGTTGTTATTGTTGTTGTTGTTGTTGTTGTTGTTGTTGTTTTGGAGGGTTTAAAATGTATTTGTTTTGTAAGTATTTTATGTCCTTAACAACGTAACTAGATCACAGTTCCTTTTTTGTTTTGTCTAGTTTTTATTTTTATTTTCATTTTTTTGGGGGGAGGGGGGGGTGTTGGTCTTAAATTCATTAAGTATGCTTTTACCATCACTTATGACGTAAGTAGATCAAATAAGTGCGGAAGACAAAAAGGGTGGGCAGGTAATAAACATAATTATGTTTTCAAATATTATTGGTATTATATATTTGATAACAAAGAAGTAGTAAACCACACAAGAGCAGGGGGCTCTCGTGGCCTACAGGTTAAGGTGTTCGCCTCTCATTCAATAGGTCCTAGGTTCGAATCCGGATAGCGACGGAAATTTTTCTTATCAGCCACACCCCTTATCTTATTGTAGGAAAGATCATCTACACCTAGCCATCTCTGACAAGGGCAAAAAACCTCCGAGGTCCCGTTTGCTAGTTGTGCAAGTTAAAGATCCTGTGGTGGTCCAAAGTAAGAGTAGGCCTCGGGCGCCACCCGAGCAAAATTTAAAATTTCCTACCAACTGAAAATGTTTAATGTGTCCTGCGCACTCATATGACCTTATGCAGTTACGAGCGCCTTAGTTAAAACACTTTTTTTAAACCACAACACTGGAGCACCCACTAACCACCAACGTCCAAACTTGTTGCTTTAGTAGAGGTTTTACGGCGCTCGCAAAGGCTGCGTCGACTATCAAGGCACCCCGGAAATAGCGGATCACGGGAGTGTGACAAACATACAAAAGAAGTAGTGTGAAAATGACGACAGTACGGATTAGGAAAGAAAAAGCAGCAGTTCCCTATTGCAGGTCAGGCACGGTTAAAAACATGACATTGATGAATCAGCCCATTTACCATTGCAATTCTTCTGTGCATAAGAACTCGAGATGTCAATGCCCCCCCCCCGACTATCAAGGCACCCCGGGGGGGGGGGGAAATGGCCTAAAGACACTTCAGTCAGTACCACCGCCGGGGGTAGTCCAAACTGTACCTGCTTGTTTTCCTCAGTGTCACTAACCCACAACTGGAGAGATTTACAGACTACTACATGGCTCCCTACACCAGAGTAGGACCCTTTGTCATCGGAATTTTGGCCGGCTACCTCATGGCGCGACACGGCGGCCGGATCGCCATGAAGTGGGTATGGCCTGCCCTTTCTTTACTCTGACAGCTTCAAGTTTTACGCTTCATTCAGTTTCGTTTAGTCTAAGTTGAAAGCTTTAACCCCCCGGGGCAGTACCGCTGACTGTAGTGTCTTTAGGCCATTCCGAAAGGGGGGACATTTCTCGTTCAAGTGCAGTAGAAAATGGGCTGATTCATGTCACGCTCATAACTGTGCCTGACCTACAACAGGGAACTGCTGCTTTTTATTTCCTAATCCTTACTATTGTCATTTTCCTCTACTTCTTTTGTATGTTTGTCACTCTCTTGTGACCTGCTATTTCCAGGGTGCCTTGATAGTTGAAGCAGACCTTGTGCTGTTGAAGCTAGAGAGGTGGGCAGAGTGGGTCTGATTCCCTGTAAAGACTTCTCTGTTGACACCCACCCCTTGGCGCTCATATGACCTTATGCAGTTGCGAGTGCCGTAAAACCCTCTACTATAATAAAATATGAAAGCTTTACAGCACTTACTACACAAATAGGTTACAAATAGCCTGGTGTTTGGCGCTTAGTTTTGTTTAGTTTAAGTAGCAGTTTTACTTGCATAGCTGATTACTCGCAATATCTTTCGTCCTTGTGTGTCCTAGTTGTGTCGCAAGTCCTATAGAACTCTTACTAAAACAAAAACATGCAACATCTTTAGTCCTAATCTCTTCCCTTCTTTTTGTGTTTGTTACTCTATTCTCTAATCTTCGGCACTAATATGACCTAACTGTTTTGCCAGTACCGTAAAATTTTTGCTAAAAACAAAAGCACATGCAACACAAATAGGTCTTGGTCATATAAGGGTCGAAGATTGGGGGTGTTACTAGAGAGCAACATACCAAAAAAGGAGGAGGGATGGGGAAGAAAGATGTTTGATAGAAAAGATGTTTGACTCTTCCATCGACCCCCCTCCCCCCTAAAAAAACCCAGCAAACAAACAAACTTCCCCCTCCCTCCGCATGCCCTTATTTGGTATAACGTGAGTAAAATATATGGTGATCTACATAATAAACCGGAAATACCGGGTGATCCCCCCAAAAAAGGTTTTTTGTTAAGATTTTCCTCCACACTGAAGTTTTGCGTTTCAAATTTGTACAAACCATTTGAAAGTCAAACGGAATTTGTCTGATATTCATTTTAGATAAATCCACAAAGTAATGCTCTACAGAGAGCGTAAAAAAAACATTTTCAGCTACGTCCCCATTTTTGTAGCAGGACACGCTAGTATGCATTTTGCCTACCACTAAAAATCCCAAGGATTGCGCCATATTGCAAACTACAATAGTTTAAAACGCCAACAGAAGTTTGCAGATATTTTTTCTCAAGTTTCCTTTGCCTGCTGAGATCATGGTTAAGATAAGAAAAGAACTGAGAGCGTTTTGTATTGAACATTTCCTCACCACCACCTCCTTTCCCAAGTTTCGCACAAGGCACGGAAATAATGTTAACGTACCTTTAAAGCCTTTTTTGATGTCAAGGGTGGAAATGGTCCATCAGTTAGGACCTGTAGAGAATAAGAAATAAAAATCCCAGACAAAACGACCACTTCAGGTCAAACACACATCGTTTGTACCCCTTTAAACGTCACAAGGGTGCAGAATTCAGTAGATGAGTCCCCATAAGACGCATTAAAATGTGCCGAGTCCAAAGGAGGTCTATAGACCATTGGTTCTCGGAATTCCAGAATTTTAAAAAAAAATTAACTCTGTAGGAGAATAGAAATATTGTTTTAAAGGTCATAGGAAAAGGAAGATTAGATTTTTAGAATAAAAGGAAAGTGAAAAACAAACCAATCACTTCATGACTTTCCTTACACGATCTTTTAAATAGGTGCATTTTGCATTAAGAGGTGATCTTTATAAAAGCCATTTCCGTTTTCGAAAATATGTTTCTTCTATGTGAATTTTGTGTCAAACAAATTCTTTTTGAATGAACTATATCTGTTCCAAATTACAACATTCTTGTACATTTTTTGTGTACTATGTTTAGAACAAAAAGTTGTACAGTTTGGGTTGTTTGTTTTTTGGATCACCCTGTACTTCACATCGCACGATTTGATATTAATTTGACAACACAAGTCGATGGGAATGGGCTACATGTATTTCCGATGTGATGCTGCGTGATGCGACAAACTTACAAAGGAAGTAGGTGGCATTCTTTGAGTGACAAGCCTTGATTATTTAATGTCATCCTTGTTTTTATGACGCGTGATTTGACCGTGCACATATTGGCAGTGCGTAATAGCAATGACTATTAACTGGCCTGCTTCTATGACAACCGACGTTTTCGTTAATTGGGATTTCCATTGGAAAGTAGTGAGATTCTCTGATCTCCAAGTTCAGATGACACAATCCTTGTCTGTCGTATATGTTGCACAGTTGTTGTTGTACATTTTGATGTCCTTTATGTATTTTGTTGCCCATTCTACATCGGCAGTACGTGGTGGTCATTGGCTGGGCCGTTGCCGTGGCAACTGGCCTCGCGGTTGTTTACGGTATCCATGACGACATAACTGCTGAGGACCCCAGCTCTACAGAAGTTGCCGCTCTCTACAACACTATGGCCAGGTCGGCGTGGTCTGTCGCCATCAGCTGGGTCGTCATTGCCTGTGCTTCGGGATACGGAGGTGAGATGTCCGTTGGTTTAGATACATTTTTGATACTATAATATTGTGTAGCTTATCAATTGTATCTTCCTACCAACCTTAACGTACCAGTCCCAAACATGGTCCCTAAACAAAGCACACACAAAAAATCTGTGTATGCGAAATGAGGTGTCTCCGCAAAACCATCAATATCACTAGAAGAGACCGCATAAAGAACGAGTCCATACGCCTACTAACCGGAATACTACCAGTAATAAATTTAATTGAGCATCAAAGAGTCAAGTGGTTCATACATCTAACCAGAATGCCCCAGAAACAACTTACGGCAAGAGCTTACCACACCCGTGAATCCGGCTTCAAATCAAGAAGAAGACCTAGAAGGTCTGGATGGAGTTAAAAAGGTCCTGGAACAACATAACATATTAATTATATATCACAGACGCCACTCATTTAACGAAGGACCGAAACATGCACCTCCCCTCGACATCCTCAGGATATCAGAGAAAATAAAAATGAAAGTAAATAAGTAGCGGAGTCCGCCTTTCAGTCGCGTGAAAAATCAGCGCATGGTCGGGGTATCTATTCGGAGACGTCTCCGACGGAGATAGACCAATCAAAATGCTTTGTGTTTCTAGACTACTCTAGACCAAGTTTTAAAAATCTGGGGGGTTACAGGGGTGGGCATGCAACCTTGTTTTAACCCATAATTTGATATTTTGCGGTTAGGTTTGAAATGTTATTGAAAATAATTGATTTGCGACAGTTTTAGTGGCTATAGATCTATGTGTGATCTACAGCAAACGATACGCAGTTTGACCTCCGAAAGCAGTGCATCTGTGTGTGGGAGTGCAACTGCGAATAGTTCCTGGCTGCTCGCCGGAGACGTCTATGAATATCTCCTGCCTTGGTGAATCAGCCACATACGACATGGCTTACGAGAGACCGGCATGGTTGGTTGTCGGGAGCTCTAGTGTTGCTTCCTTTTTCTTTCCCTTCAAACGACTACCGTCCTTATCTCTCCACCTTCAGCTATTTGTTCCTCTACCAACACCTCTAAACCTCGGTACTTTTATGATCTGTGTCTCATACTATATCTAAACTAAGTAAACTGCAGCTAAAAAGCCACTAACGAACGTTAAGACTGAGGAAGACCTTTTGCCACAGACTTAAGAGTCATTATAATCATTATGATATTATACATCTGATATTCGCCTCATGTGGGTAAAATATCAGTTAAGAGTCTAAGTGAAATTTTACAATTTTAATACAACCTTTGTAAAAATGGACTCAAATTGCCATTGCTCTGTTATTGAGACATCTATAATGTAACTGTAGTAATATTACTACCCCCATTGGCACAGTTTGGATCATACATACGTATTTGTTCTTAACAAAATTTTAATACGAAGAACCAAAGTCCGAAACTAAATAGTATTTAGGGCTTTTTTAAAGAAAGACAAAACAAAGCACAAAAAAAACCAATACAAAATAAAACTAGAAACAAAACCCTGACTTTCCTTTTAACGTTTACTCCCCTTTAACGTTTGAGGTATTTCCCTGGCCCCTGTAAAATTGTCACAACTAATTACAACCTTTTCTTACTCAAAAGGCTTTTTAAATAGTAGAGAAATGACTTATTTTCCCCCAGGTCCTGTGAACTGGCTCCTGTCGTGGAAACCGTTGATCGTGCTGGGTCGTCTGTCCTATCTCTGCTACCTGATCCACCCGAACATCATGTACATCTACTTCGGCAACCAGGGAGATGCCTTCATGCTTACCGACTCCAACATGGTAGTTTTTGTTCTTTTTTTGTGTTTGTTTTGATGGATTTTTGTTCGTTTCGTTGGGCTTTGTTTGCTTGTTCGTTTTGTTTTTTATTTTTGTTGTTGGGGGGGGGGGGGGGGGGGTTGGGTTGGGATTTTTGTGTGTGTGTGTGTTTTATTGTTTATTTCTCGTGGGGTGGGAGGAAGTATCATTTTTTAATTTCTTAAAACTTATTGTTTCAGCTTGAAACACGACACGGAGAGCCCCCTTCAAACAACATGTAACGTCGGTGTTTTCTCTTTACGTCTATCCTTAAACGTGAAAAGAATATCATTATGTATAGAAGTAAAAGATGTTCGATGTATTACTTCCCTGTCAACACAGTTCATAGTATTTAGGCCTGCCACGACCCTGCCTGTCAGGGACATGCAAGCTTGAGCAGGATATAGTGTCATAACAGACAGACGAGAATAGGCCAGACAGTCACCCACACGAGGATTGAACTCACGCCTTTTCGCACCTTTAACCCTGGGCCAGTATGATAGGCTCTCCTCTTCTTGATTATCTGGAAAAAAAGAAAAGCACAGCACCCCCCCCCCCTTCTGTTTTTTCTCCAAACCCCCCCCCCCCTCCTTTTTTTCATCTCCATTGCTAGATCTGTGATAGGCATCAGTGATCATTGTTCTTCATTCATTCCCTTGCTTAGATCATCATCATCATCCGGTGCCTTGCCGACTGGCGTGGGCAATCATGGACCTCCACTTCCCTCTGTCTTGCGTTGCAGCGATGGTGTCTGTCGTTTTTGCTGTTCCCTGCCATGTTGTCAATCTGTCCTGTATATGTTCCCTTTATCTGCCTCTGCCGTTCTTTCTATCAACTTGCCTGTCGTTACAATACTATCCAATGCTTCTTTCCGTGTTGCGTGTCCAAAGACCTTTGCCAGCCGCTTTCGTATTAAATTCGTCACAAGCTGCCGTCTGCAATTGGCTTCAAACAAGACTTCTCCATTTGTTTTTCTATTTGTCCATGGGATACACAGCATGCATCTTATAAACCATAACTCTGTTGCCTCAATTGTTCTTCCATCTGTCTATTGATTGTCCATGTTTCGCACCCGTACAATAGGATTGGCTTGATGTAACTCTACACAAAAACAAAAACCAAAAAAACCCTGCATTGTCCCGATCTTTCCCCGTCACCCATCTGTGTAGGCTCTCCAGCAAGTAGGCAGCTCTGGGTTTACCCTTGCCTCGTTTACCTTCAATTTTTGCCAGTGAGAGCTAGCTGGGCCTTTTTTTCCATTTCTATTCAAGTATCAAGTAAACTTCATGTGTCTTTTCCTGGTGGTTTTTAAAGGCTTGAGCCCCTCCCACCAACTTTATCCCAAAATAAATGGACGTATTTAAATAACGAAATAAGCAGTTGAAACCGTTATAATCGCACGCAATGAACACCGACTGTTCAACTTGGCGGCTTGCTCGTTAACCAATCACTGTTGTCACCGCTTACAAGTATAGTAACCTAACAGCCAGTCAAATTTCTTTAGCGCTCAGCCCAGGGTGAGCCCATATCCACACCCCTTCTGTAAAGAAACTCTTCTTGTAAAAAAGTAGGGACTGGAAAAAAGAACACTGTACTGAGGACTCAGGCTCTCCTAGCCCTGACAATGGGATGAAAGTTTATGACACACTTTCCCCCAATGACACAGATACCTATGCCCCCATTGGACCTTTGTTAGGTGTGTTCTACTTTCCGCAACTACACGGCCTTATCCAACTCATAGACGAAATATGTTTGAAGGGCTGTGTGTGTGCATGTTTGTGTTTGTGCCGCTGAGATTTCACAGTTATAAATCACGTAGAACCACTTTTCATCCAAAAGAATCTAACTTAGAAAAAAGAGATGGAAGACAAAGGTGACTCCTCTCTATTGACTGGTTCTCAAAATGCCGTGGCTCACCGTGAGTATAGAAAAATCAGTACTATTTAGATCGTATTGCTTACTATTTGGTGGTAAAAAAGTGGAAGCAACCTTAGCCCCACCCAAATTTTGGTCCACCCACCACCGATACATAACTTATATGATTGTTCGTCACTTTTTCTTATTCGACGAACGAGCGAAGATGTATGGCAATCGTTATGCCCTTTGAAGCGTGAGGACCACGTTAACGAATGCCGTACGTAATAGGTTGTATTCTTAATAATGATCCTATTAGATGCATTTCGTAAAACTAAGCGCAGAATCTCATTCGGAGATATTTTTTTCCGTATAAAGACATCTTTTCACTTTAGATATGGTCGATTTTAAGGACTAGCAGGCTAACCCAGCTTTTTGGGGGTTTCCAGAAATCTTGACCTACTCCAAAAGTGAGCATTGCCCTACCAATAGGATACGTTTGGTTTCATTGGTGTGTATATTGTTTGGTTATAGAAAAAACTCTCCTTGTCTTTTGAAGAAACTGAAGAAGGGTCCAAAAACTTTACCTTCGATTTTTTCAAAACAGCATTTTTCGGGATAGCCCACGTGCGCTTAAAAGTGACCATATATAGTAAGTAGTATTTGCAAACCGGGTATAACTATAAGAAACTAACCACTAAATCTAGCGCTTCTCTGTGTCCCTGGACATCCAAAACTGTCCTTGAAGCACGAACTGACCCTGTGTCCCGAAGGGGTTAATTGGCGACCGGTGCACGTGAGCTTCTTCAAGTACTACTGGTACTTCCTTTGATTTCTTTCCCTTCCAAGAGACCCCTCGGGGGCGGTACCACTGACTGAAGTGTCTTTAGCCCATTCCCAAAGCGGGAACATTTCTCGTTCTAATGCATAGTAGATCCAACAATGTCATACTCATGACTGTGCCTGAACGACAACAGAGAACTGCTGCTTTTTCTTTCCTAATCCTTTCTATCGTCTATTACCTCTACTTCTTTTGTATGTTTGTCACACTCTTGTGACCCGGGATGCCTTGATAGTCGAAGCAGACTTTGTACTGTTGAAGCTAGAGAGGTGAGCAGAGTAAGACTGATTCCCTGTAAGGACTTCTCTGTTGACATCCACCCCTTGGCGCTCATATGACTTTATGCAGTTGCGAGCGCCGTAAAACCTCAACTAAAACTAAAACAAAACCCTTCCCAGAAATTCTCAAAGGTCTAGTAACTACTAAGGAACCACATTTCGGTTGCTTCTATTTTATCTACCCTGCATTATATTATGGTTGTAATACACGGGTTTTCTCCATGCTATCTCTCCCCAGATATTTAGCTTTGTGGGCGTGGTGGCTGTCACGTGCATGTGCGCCTTCCTTTTCCATCTGGCCGTGGAGACGCCGATGGTGGAGCTGGAGAAGACTTTTCTCAAGAAGCATTGATGCTGTTGGGACATCGGTGGATTGATTGTTTGTTGGTTTTTGTCTTTTTTTATATTTCTCTGTGTTTATAGGAGAGATATTAGATGTTTTGTTTTTGTTTTTCTTGTCGTTTTGTTTTTGGTTTTGTTTTCGGGTGTTTTTAGATGTTTGTTTTTTATGGGGGGGGGTAGAGGGGGTGGGGGTGTTTAACTACACTAGTTTGTTTGTTATTTTCTGGGCGTCGTTAAAAACAATTAAACCATATATATCTTTATTATCTTGTCCAGGTCTAAAAAAATGATAATCAGTGTACAAATAGATCATAGCATGAATGTTATTATCATTCTGTTTTTATTGTACGTGTTTTTAGTTTTACGCTTCCATCAACACATTTATAGCATTGGGCGTCCGGCCGACTTGTCAATGCTAATACGAGCTGTTAAAAATTTCGGTGTCCTCGAGTATCGAACTCGGGTCTCCAGTGCGCGACAACGAAGCGCCTAACAACTACACCACAGACAAAAGTGCATCTTTTTTTATTTCTAGAGAATGTGTGTGTGTTTGGCGTGATGTGTGTGCACATGTGTGCGTGTAATGTGTGCGTCTGTGTGTGCGTCTGTGTGTGTGTGTGTGTGTGTGTTGGTGTGTGTGTGTTGGTGTGTGTGTGTGTGTGTGTGTGTTGGTGTGTGTGTGTGTTTGTGTGTGTGTTAGTGTGTGTGTGTGTGTGTGTATGAGTGTGTGTGTGTGTGTACGCGTGTGTGTCGCGTGCGTGAATATTGTTCGTACATGCATTTATGTAAAGCGCCTAGAGATGTGTTTACACGGAAGTGGGCGCTATAGAAATGATCTTCATTATTATTATTATTATTGAATGTTTTAATGAATGTTTCCAGTTATTCAAGTTTCAATTTTATTGTGACCGTTCGTGAATTTTTATGGCATTGTTGTGTATTTTCAGTGAATGCATTGCCGAGCTCACTGCGAGACTGTTTTTCTCATAGAGATGTGTATATATACAGTATGTATTATGCGTAATACTGTGTTTTACGTACACACGTGTCAATTAATTTTTAAGATGTGAAGTCTTTTGTGATGTAATGCGCATTGAGCATTTTTTAGAAAATGGAAATGCGCTGCATAAATGCTATTGATTGTTATTATTATCTTTCTTTGATACGATAAATGATAAAAGTAGTGAATCTTTAAGTACAATGAGCCTTTAAAAAAAAAATAAGTCAGAGACCTTCTTCCAGACATCAACGCGGTGCACTGTTCCTTCAGTTGGTGGTGTGCCAGGCTTCTAAGTAGATGGTACTGTTTTGTATTCCGAACAGTGCTCTATGAACGGGTTGTTTTGGGGGACTTTTTAAGGCTGTTCACCCATTTGACCTGGCCCTTCCTTCCTTCCTTCCTTCCTTCCTTCTTCACTCACTCACTCACTCACTCACTCACTCACTCACTCACTCACTCACTCACTCACTCACTAGCTGTTTGTCTCGTTCTTAATTACCTATGCCTGTATACGTGCATAGATACTAGGTCTAATTTAAACGAGTAATTTTATTATTAAAATATTTAAAAGAGAATCTAAAGTATTCGCTCCTCTTTCAATAAGTCCCGTGTTCGAATCCGGATAGCGACGGAAATTTTTCTTCTCTAAAATTGACTCCTTTCACCTCCTTTCCAGCTCTCTAGCAATGTTCTGTCGTCTGCTTCCGCCTCCACTTTCTGCCCCTACCCCCTCACGTCCTGTGTCCCCTCCTCTGGGCTCCTAACTCTTACTACTACTCCTTGGCTCCTTCTTACTGCTGTCTTTCAGTCACACCCCTGATCTTGAGGTAGGAAAGATCTACGCCTAGCCTTCTCGGACACGGGCGAAAAATCTAGGAGGTCATCCCATTTTGTAAACCTGACCCTCGGTCGACAAAACGACATGAATTATGGCTGGAAAGATGTGAAAAACAAATATAATTATGGAGAACGGATGCAGTCTTCACCGCGCCACATAGTTAAAGATATACGAGTGGTACCCCCCATCGGTGGGGGTAGGGGGTAGTTGCACCTCTTTGTGTGAAGTAGGCGTAAGTGGGCTATTTATACTTTCCAGCCCGCTCGTGGTGAGAAGAAAGAAAATTGTAAGATAAGATAAGATACATCTTTGTTGTCAAGATCCTGGCACATTGGTTTGGTGTGTCACCACGTACACACACACACACACACACACACACACACACACACAAACAGGCACACACACACAAACAGGCACACACACGCAGGCTCACAGTCACGTGATAATATAAATGACAAATAATACAAACAATAACAATCTTAAGCTAGATACATACTCTGTATTCTGATAGTAACTAAATGTTATTCTGATGCATGCTCTAAGGTCATATGAATGCTTATAACAAGATGATTAAGATGGGAGAATTTTGATGGATGATGGTGAAAATGACATTCTTTATCTTTCTTTGTTACAGATCAGAGGCCTAGGTCTTCTACTTCGACTTTTATTTTTATTTGAGGGAACAAGGGATGTTTATTGTCCAAAAAGATGAAATTTATTTTTAAAATGTTTTATTTTTTTGGTGCAAGCTGTACAATTCATCCAAGTAGGGGAATGGAGATGTTGAAGTTTTGCATGCTTTCTGTATTAACGGGTTTCTAATTTTTCTTTATCTTGTTGTCTTGTGTTCCCGGCCCATGCTGTTATACGTGTACAGAAATTAATTATACTTTCTATGGTTGAATAATAGAATGTTATAATTTATGGACATTAATGTTTAATCAACTTTAAAATACATGAGCTTCCTTAGAATAAAAAATCTTTTGTTCACTTCTTTATGCAGGAGAGAAGTGTGGATACGCCATTAGAGTTTGTTGTCTATTGTAACTCCCAAATACTTAATCTGACACTTGCTCGACGTTTTCACTTTAATTTAAAGTGGCTGCAGGGGAAGTTTCATTTTTCTAAAGTCAACAACAAGTTCTTTGGGGTTTTTTCACATTTAAAAGCGCCTTATGATTTTCACACCATTCAGAAAAGTTACGTATACTCAGCGGCAAAAAAACAACTGTCCACTTGGAAAGAAGCCTGTATTGTAGTTATCCTTCAACATATAAAAACAAAAATTGGCACAAACGTAATATTTCAAAGTATGTGAAGAAGTGTGTTACATTTTGTTTCTAAATCATATCTCATATGGTGGCATAGCGTTATGCACAAACTGGTACCCCTTGATTTCAAAATAATATTTTTTAAAATTGACACAGACATATTTCAAAGTATGTCAAGAAGTGTATTACATTTTGTTTCCTAATCATTTTCTCATATGGTGGCATAGTGTTAAGCACAAACTGGTACCCCTTGATTTCAAAATTTCACATCAGTAGCGGGCATTGTAACCCCTTGCAATGATGCACGCTTGATGTTCTGCGCATTGATCGAGTCAGTTTTTTTTTTTCTTATTTAAATGAATTGTTGTGGCAATCCATTTCACTCTTGAATCTCTTGAATCTAAGCATGTCCCAGTCATTGTACAATGTCAATGTCGTTTTGGGAGCTCCCTCTTAGACACAGTCAGTTCAAGCGTAGATTTCTAATTATTGGAAGGATGGCAAACGTTGGTCATTATAAGGCCTTCTTGCTCGATGTTCGAATGTGATTTATTGCCCCTTCCGCACTGACACTACTTGGCGGGGGGGGGGGGGGGGGGTTGCATCTAATACCTCGAGGATTCCCATTTGATACATATATATGTAATATATGAGATACAGTCAGTCGAGACGGCTGAATTTTCCTTCATGGAGGGGGGGGGGGGGGGGCAAAAATCAACCGACCATTTTAGCAGAGTCTGATCAACTCCTCCATGGTCAGTTTTTCCTCGTCTTGGGTCTTCTTAATTCGCATAGAGAGGAGTCGGGTCTTTCTGCGGAATGCAACAGGTCAAATAGGATGAAACAAATCAGAGGTCAGTTTGATCTAGATTCTAGTTAACGCTGCAAACGTCATTAATCGACCCTCTTTCAAATGAATCGAATGTATTAAAATTATCAAATGTATTAAAATTATCAAATGTATTAATGGACAATGAGCACTGTTAATTAATGTTATCATCAACTCAATCTAGATCATTGAGGGTTCACAGATCTGAGTCCAGCCTACCAGCTATCTCGTACATGACAGGTTCAAATCCCCAACAGAGTGTTCAGACGGGATGTCTCATATCTGCCATTATCTGCATGGGCACCAATTTTGTCATCCGAATATACCTCAAAGAATAACGTTTAAATTTGGAGTACAGTTTTATGATATGACAAGACAGACGCGTCGAAAAAAAAATACATGTAGTTAACAACCAAATAACAACGGAGTCAGGAAAACGATTTTTCCCCTTTTTTTTGCCATTCTTACAATATTGAGCGAATAGGAGAACTTTCTAAAAAGTCTGATTTTATTTTGTCTGACCAATGCCAAAAATCTGAGAGAATGTTTTTCTGTACGACGGATTTAGCTTGAGGTATATAAAAATGTTGACAGAAGCATTGATAACTTGAAAGATATAGGCCAAGGCCAGGATGACCATGTACAAGTTGTGATAACGATGTCCGAAGTTTATGTCGGGCTCAGCTCTCAGGGCCACCACGAACAGAAGTCGTGACGTATTGCACAAGATGGAGACGATTGCCAGTGTGGATACCATTTTCACAACACGTCGATTTTTGGCCGACAGAGTTTGGGGACTTTTCTCAACTTTAATCTTGTTACTACTTTCTTTTTCCACATTTGTGGGACAATACGGCCTGGAAATATTGTTATCTCTGCGACTGTCTGGGTCTCTCAAAACGTTTTCTTCTCCTTCTCCTACTTCGTTCGAAGTTTTGAAATTGTTCAGACCATCTGGCTCTGACGGTCTCGCAGCTCCGCGTCTCTGGAACTGAGATGATTTCTTGAGGCCGGTGACCATGATGTGGGTACACACAATGACGATGACCACTGAAGTGACCGCTAGAATCAGATGGTTCCACAAATCTAAGAAAGCTGTGATGGCCGGCATGTCTTTCGAGCTCCACAGGAGGACGCGGGTCGTGTTCGTCCGGGGGTCCCACTGGACACGGAGACCGGATGTGACGTAATGGGGGAGGTAACAGCAGAATGTGAGGCAAAAGATTGTCGCCATAGCCAATACGGCTCGTTTAAAGGTGAACAGTTCCTTGAAACGGAAAGGTAAAGCCACGCAGAGGCAACGTTCCAGTGAGATGAAGGCTGTGATATAGGTCGAAATGTCATATGACATTGAACTGATGAATATTACTTGGTAATATAGCCCTCGGGGATCCACATAGAAGTCAGCAGAGCCATAGGCATCGAGTATGTCACAAACTCCGCAAATAGCCCCGAGAAACAGGCATGTGAAATCGGAAACGGCAAGTGAAAGGAGACAGACAGACACACAGTCCTTAGCTCCCAGCGTCAAGAACACAGTTATGTTTATACAGTTGAACGCCGAGCCTAAAAGGCTGAGACCTAGGGTGACAAAGGTGAACACAAGTAGGAAAATACGCAAAGTTTGGTCGTCAATTAAGCCGCCATGTTCAGAGATGTTGTGGGATCCCTTGAGCTCCCGTTCTGTCTCGTTGACAAGGGACATAATCGTGTCTTTTGAAATTGGTGGATAGTGGATAGGCTACGGAGAAATAATTGTGACACCAGATTAGCCGGGAGACTTTCTGAGTAAAAAAACAACAACAGCTCAAGACACATTAAGAGATTGAAACCACATAATGAAAATCATACAAGTACCCGAAAAACACGCCAAATACGGTTTCCAGTTTGTAACGACTTCAAGAACATCGATCACTATGAGTCTTAAATCTCGCAGTAAGATGCAGCACTGATAACGCGATATCTGAAGCCAACATGCGCGCACACGTTGTGGGTGGTTAGAGGGTGCCGCGGATAGGTCCAACTTCTTCTTCTTCTTCTTCTTCTTCTTCTTCTTCTTCTACTTCTTCTTCTTCTTCTTCCTCTTCCTCTTCCTCTTCCTCTTCCTCTTCCTCTTCTTCCTCTTCCTTTTCCTCTTCCTCTTCCTCTTCCTCTTCCTCTTCCTCTTCCTCTGCCTCTGCCTCTGCCTCTTCCTCTGCCTCTGCCTCTGCCTCTTCTTCTTCTTCTTCTTCTTCTCTCTCTCTCTCTCTCTCTCTCTCTCTCTCTCTCTCTCTCTCTCTCTCTCTCTCTCTCTCTCTCTCTCTCTCCTTCTCTCTCTCTCTCTCTCTCTCTCTCTCTCTCTCTCTCTCTCTCTCTCTCTGAACGTAGATTTCAATAGTGCTCTGGAATATGTCGACTTGCAAAAGTATGTTCGAATTACGTTCTATTATTATACCGGCACTTACTATTGAACAGAATGCATAGATTAGTTTGAAAAAATAATAATAGGATAAATAAAAGTGTTACACACGCATATTGCTGCGGGATGAAAAAAGGAATATAGTCTACCTATCGTCCTTACCTCTCCTCTTTCTTTTTTTATGTGTGTTACTCTCTTGTAACATCTCTAATCGTGGGTACAAATATGACCTTATTGTGTTGCAAGTGCCGTGAAACTCTAACTAAAACAAAGACATTATTATGTTGTAGCTGCTTTTTTCCCCATCGATTGAATCGAGAAAATGATTCTCCCAAGTTTCACAGGTGGTTGGAGAGTCATTGGTAGGCTCTACGTCTTGTGTTTCCCTCTGTTATTTCTGTTTGTCTGTCTTGCTTTTCCGTTGTACTAAATGACCAAGGTAACTCAAACTCCTGTCTCTGCTAGGAATTCACGAGATTGAAGTCGACTTTTAATCTCTCATTTTAATTTTCTTTTTAAGTAGCAGTCCAGAAAGGTAATCCAGACTGTGACAAAATAATTTAATTAATTAATCAATTAAATAAATGAATAAATAAATAAATAAATAAATAAATAAATGAGTTTTAAAAATGTAGGACCAACTAATAAATGATTTACGCCCCCCTCCCCCCAAATTTACCCAGTTTTAAGTCACGCCTGGGGTCAGGCCCCTTCGACTCTGTCTATTACCAGGGCCCACGTGGACTGAAAAGATACAATGTCAGGACAGCAGACAGACGGAGGTACTGGATTACGGAGATACTGGATTTAATAAGACAGACAAAACTAACTAACTAACTAACTAACTAACTAACTAACTAACTAACTAACTAACTAACGAACTAACTAACTAACTAACTAACGAACGAACGAACGAACGAACGAACGAACGAACTAACGAACTAACGAACTAACTAACTAACTAACAACAAACAAAGCAAGACAAACAAAACAAAACAAACCTCTCCTCATACGGGAATGGAACTCACGTCTGTATAGCGATCAAACGCAAAGAGCCCCACCTCACCGGTATGTTGTGTAATAGTAGTAGTAAACTGTTGCACGTGAGTGTGAGTTACAGCTTTTTTCGATCAATTTTAACAAGTTTTGAGAGGTCACAAGGCTGAGTGATGGAAGTAGATGAGAATACTATTCAAGTATTTTTGAGGGAACGCGAGCTCGAGAAGTGAGGGGTAAATTATGAACGCTGGTGTCTCTTTGTTTTAGATCTGACACTTCAAGAAGAAAGACAATAATTCGGCTACTAGAGTCTGGGTACTGCCGCGGGAAGTGACACTTTTAGACAAATTGTTCTAAACACATGTATTTAATATTCTCCGTCAACACGAGAAAAGGAAAAAAAAAAACGTGTGCATGAAATTAGGCCTATAATAATAACGGTTAAACTGTAACAGTCCAAATTGACCTTTTAAAACTTTATTGTAAATTACATGGTTATTGAACAACATTCGCGCTTACTTAGCGCTGTGATATGTTTGAGTATCCGACAATTTCCCTTGTCACTAGACGGGTCGAGATGAAGACGGTCATTATATTTCTTGCATTTTATTTGTAGAAACTGCCTCCTTTCACTACTTAATTTTGTCATCCAATTACCGACAATTAACATATATATTTATATTTTTAAAAACGATAAATGGCTTTGCCGAGACGAAATAGGCTGAGATTTTTATATCATTTTTTATTAAGAACAAAATTAGCATCGATTCTTCCTGCGGTGGGGCAGTCTAGTCTCTCATCTCTCGATCTCTCGATCTCTCGATCTCTCTTTGTGTGTGAGTCGTGAGTCCTCTCCCTCCTCCCTGTTTTTCTTCCCCTTTTTTCTATGACGAATTGTCTTTCTATATAATATCTTGAAATCGGTACGGCCAAAGGGGTGGCTTTGAACGTCATGTTTAGACATGGGATCTAGATCTGGGCCTACCCCCCGGTCAGTGTCACTGACTGAAGTGTCTTTATGCCATTCCCAAAGGGGGACATTTCTCGTTCAAGCATAGTCGAATTGTAAATGGGTTGACTCATGTCACGCTCATAACTGTGCCTGATCTACAACAGGGAACTGCTGCTTTTTCTTTCCTGATCCTTACTATTGTCATTTTCCTCTACTTCTTTTGTATGTTTGTCACTCTCTTGTACCTGCTATTTTGGGGTGCCTTGACAGTCGAAGCAGACTTTGTGCTGTTGAAGCTAGAGAGGTGCGCAGTCTAAGTCTGATTCCCTGTAAAGACTTCTCTGTTGACACCCACCCCTTGGCGCTCATATGACCTTATGCATTTGCGAGCGCCGTATAACCCTCTACTATATTTTTTAAAAAATAGATCTAGGCCTAATCTGAGATTATTGTAGCCAGGGCCGAAGGCTGACTTGTTTGACAGGGTAATCAAAGTGAAACGGGATCAGAATCAGATATGGCCTGTAGATATCACACAAGAATCTTACTCGAGGCGGCGACTCTGAGTTGTGAATGAAAACAAATCCGGAATTCATATTGTATGTTCAACCGCCAAAATAATCGGGAAAGTATCTATATCAGTTCCAACTAAAATAAAATGTCACTTTAGATGTGAATACATAAACACAAAGCAAAGAAGCAAAGATGTCAGTACTAGATCTATATATGTTATAGATATACCAGTGAGTCTAACTCTTTGGTAGAACATGACAATTATCATTTTTTAAATTTCACATATTTGGCTGTTTTTGTTAGCCTTTCGCGGCCAGGAGCTGGTGTCATATAATCGAGGTCACGATCTGATTATAGGACGGTAAAAAGTCGAGGAAAAAAAACAAGCACATGGAGAGGTCAAGAGTGGGGCTGGATTCTGCTCGGTAGTGATGGGCAGGTATCGATACCAGGTACTCGATACTTAGATACCTACAAAGATAGTACAAGACAAGATGGGCCACTTCTCTCTTTGAGCCAATTAAAAAAGTGTCCTCAAAATTTGGTGGCGCCCTCTTCACAAAAGCGCACTCTTTGCGAACAGAGTTACCCTACTTGAGTTTTAAAAAATCAAAGTGAAACTAGCAAGTTTTGGGATAAATTTCTGAAGAACGCTTTTTAAAAATGATTACGCTGACAAAAAACCTCTTCCGGAGGAAAAGGAGATGGTTTTCTTCGTTTAATTTGACTTTAGAATGAAGGGCGAGAGGTCATTAAAATTCTAAAAAACCTAAAACTCCGCACTGAACATACCCGAACTGCTGATGAACAGCAGTCGATCTGCGCACGCAAGGAGGTGCTATTCCTATTCTTCTTCTGGAAAAACGAAAGAGAGCTTCAAAACAGACTGCAGCGCCATCTGAAGCAAAGAGCATACTTCCTGCGGACACTTTTTAGGCTGAGTGGCCCATCTTGTCTTGTACTATCTTTGATACCTATAGGTATCGGTATCGGTACCGATACCTGCTCTAAACATCGATACTTATGTGCTATTTATCCCAGGGCTGCCAAAGCAAGTGACTTGGGCCTTGAGAATTTTTTGTTTATCAAAACTGATAAGTTTTCGTTGGGGGCAACCGTTTTAAATTATTCTAGTGATTTTTTAACAAAAAGAGAGAAGTTTTTCATGAAATGTATCTAGTGATTTTGCAAAATCTTCACTGACAACCCAGATTTATCCTCATTGGTTTAATTTAAAGTTGCTAAAAATCTGGTAAATTGAATTGCCTTTTTAGAACTCTTGTGTTTTTATTTTCCAATACTAACATTTTCTGCAAAGTTGACTTTCCTCCCATACTTCACTTAATTTTTGTTTTTATTTTCATATTTGGGTATTTCTCTCTCTCTCTCTCTCTCTCTCTCTCTCTCTCTCTCTCTCTCTCTCTCTTTCTCTCACTCTCTCTTTCTCTCTCTCTCTCTCTCTCTCTCTCTATCTCTCTCTTTTACAAATAATTTTTGTTTGAGTCTCAGCTAAATAGTCACAACTTGTCTAGACACGATTACCTAAATACTTGGAAAAGTATAGTTGTATTTTTGTCTTTACTTATTAACCCAGGCGTATGTTACCAATAGCATTAGGTATCGAGGTATCGGTATCGATACCCTGAAAAAAGTACTAGGTATCGACATCGATACCTAAATTGTGGTATCGGCCCATCACTACTGCTCGGTTAATCGAAGACTTGCAAAGCAGCGGACGTCTTGCGCTAGAGGCTTGCGAGCAGGCTTGTGATTTGATTTGCCTCCCGCTTGCTACCGGAGGGAACTTCCGGTGAGTTGTGACTCGCCGACAGTCCTGCTGTACTGTGTCGTGACGTCGCGAACTCTCGTGGCAGTGGGCTCAGTACATATTACAGAAGATTCTCTGGTTATTTGCGTTGAGAGGCTTGCACCAAAAGTGCAAGATCGGTTGTTGTTTTTTCATAGTTCGGTTGTAAAAAACAAAAAGCTCTATTCAATGCACTTAAAAATTAATATTGGATCGGCTGTTCTTACGATGTTAAGGTCTGTTTATTTTTAACGTGCACGAGCCAAGCACTTCATCGTCGCACACAAAAGACCTCAGTTCGATTCCCGTATGGGGAGAAATTTTTACTGAGAACCTCTGTCTTTCTGCTGGGGCATTGTTCCCTCTAAACCCAGGTTGGCCCTGACATTGGGTTGAAGTAGGCCTAGCCAGTCTCCTAAATGTTCTGTATTATGTCACTGTGAGTGTAACACATCTACAAAATAGGTTACATACATACGATACAAAAGCCAATCACAACGAC